ACCTTCAATATATTATGTGTACTCGCGTTTTGTACGCTATTCTCAACGGAAGTTCTCAAACTTTCATGGTGGCCTTTATTCAGGTTCGTTTTATCATCAATATCACTATCACATTATTATCACCAATAAAATTGTTCGTATTAACATTATTATCACTCTCGTTATCGGTGTTATTATTGCCAATACTCTTATCATCATAAATGTTACTTTTATCAATATTATTGCTGCTAATGAATGAAAAAGGAAAAACTTTCAGGGATTTGGTCTTCTATATGTTTGCATTATTATTTCTGGTGATATTTTTTGTGGACGAACAAATAACGTATTATGAATCGTTGTCGATGTTTATCATTTACATTATTTATGCGATTATCATGAAGTATAGTGAACGCATTGAGATGTTCATTAAAATTGATCTGTTGAAACAGTCAAAGGTATCGGACAATGCAATCAACAGCAATGGAGATAATGAGAAGGACAACACGAACACCAAGAATGATTTCAATAATGAGGTTCGTTTAGTTTTGTTACTTAGTTCGCTGCTCATTGCTCAGTTCATGATTGTTGGAGGATAACTATTTATATTGATAACTTCTCAGGTTTCTCAAATTTTCAAGAGGAGACACAAACCAATACTCATAAATATTTTAAATCGAATATCTTAAAATCGATTCTTTATCATCACTGTCTTCTTCGCGATTGATCTGATCTGTTTCTGACATGATAACGCCTGCCCGTCATCATTTACCGCAAGCCATGTATTTCTATCATATTTCAGTTTTTTCGATCGATCCATCTTCCCAGTTACTCTTTACAGTGACATTCCTTAATCTCTTGAGTACCAATGCGGTTCTTTTTTATACTTCCTGTTATTTTCTTTGTGTCACCTCTGATGCGTCTAATGGTTTTGGTTCCTTTTCAATATATTTTTTTTGCCAAATTCCTCGCTCCTGTGGGGCGTCCTATATTTTTTTATTCGATCATTGCTAGTTATCGTTGCTGTTCGTTTCTGCTAAGAGTAATTTGTTGTGTTCAGTTTTTCTTAGCGACCATGTTTCATCGATATATGTGAATGTGTTTCATATTGTCGACTTGGATAAATCGGGAATCCACTTTGGATTGCTGGAATCGAACTTGATTCTTGGATTGAGTTTTGCATCTAGCTTATCACGAGATTCCATGGCCTTCAACTGCATTTTCAGTCTTGTCGTCAATTTCTTATCGTGTTACTGTATGCAATTCTTCACTTCATCTCTTGCCTTTTCTTCAAACTCTATTTCATCCATCTCAACGTTGGCTTTTCAATTTTGTCTTCTTTCGTTTGATCTTCACACCAAATTATCGCTCTATTTATTGTGCTCAACTAACGGTTTTTCTGTATGTATAGAAGCATTTTCCTCCAGAACGATATCGTCTGCAAGCCTTAAATGGATTATATTTCCCGATTAATATTTCCAAATGCAAATCCAAATATCTTCCGTGCACTGATAAACACCGAATAGTGACCAATGTGATAATTACAACAGCGATAAGGATTCATGTGATAATAACACAGTGACAATAAAGAACGATTGAGTGTTTAGATGAACGACGAACAGAAGCATCACTCTCAGAATGTGAACGATCATAACATTGCTGATTCAAATAAACTAAGCAGTTGCGCATGTGACACTCAGTCAGCTGTAACAAGACGTCTGTCAACTCACTCAATCCATTGTCCACCAACAACTACCCGGCATCAAATGGCCGATAATCAACGTCGCAAATCAGTACCGTTGTTGCATTGTGGTGCTTTATTCAGATCGAGTATTGCTACATTGGCCAGAGAAGGCACACTCGATACTGCAAATGACACCGATGCGAACGGAACTGCAAGCGATAATCAGATCAGTTGGAGCAGTCGTGAGTGATTTATTTGACTTGAATTGTTGTTTTCATCATCGGTGTTTATTTTGACCAATCGCCTGATTATCGCTTTGATATTATCTTCATTATTTTTTAATTTCAAAAAAGTTTTTGAAAACTGATTATTACTAATATTGATAACGATGTTTCAGCAGCAAGAAATCATCAAAAAACAGCTCACTTTCATAATCCAGTCAGAAGTATCAAAGTTCAGCCGTTTGTTCATTCAACTGCTTACGAATCGAATAAAAAAAGAGGTTTTAATTTCATTATTATCATTATTCACTGTTACCGTTATGTAATAGTTTATAGTTTACTCATCGAGTGTTGATTTATTGTGGTCGATATTAATTTTAATACCAAAACTGAACATATATTACAGAATTAGGTGGTAATGTACGATCTGTATCTGATTATTTGAAAGATGAACAATCACGATGCGTTACGTTACCTGATATTGACGAAGTATGGTTTATTATCAATGATATTATTACTGATGACGATCATCACTTTTACTATCATCAATGACATTGATATCTTATAGTTGATTTTATTACCAGTTGAATACGTTTTGCGGTTAACGTTAATGTTTCTACTACCTTACCTGTTATTCGGACACTGAGCGATTGGCTTACCGATCGCTTGGTAAAATGTTACGATTTTGACCGTGTTAAATTATGCAGTGTTTATGGCAATGGACATTCTTGATCCTAGGTTGTGGAGTGTTTAGTATGCCGATCGCTATGAATCTGCCGGATTACACTGATTATTATTGATCCCGAAAGATTACTGTCTTTCTACTGTCCGCTGTTCCAAACAGCCGCTCTGAGGGATCATTGGACGTATGTTCAATCGATCAAACCGAGTGTACTTCCGGGATCAGTTTGAGTCCCTCTCCCTAGAAATAACAGGGCAGTGAGAGAGTAGCTCTGTACCACCTCTATGCTCACTGAATCAGTAATCGAATTTAATTTCTCACGAAGACAAATGATTATCTGCACTAATCTCGTTAGTTGCGCGGAAGGAAGGATATCAAGGAAGGAAGAATGTGATATTAGTGATAAAAGAGAGGAATAAACTCGCAATGAATTGTAACTGCCAAATAAGTAAACAACCTTAATCATTAACGTTTCTGCTGCATTTAATATTTACAGGTGCCAAAGAAAATAAATATTGGTGTGAATGAAACGAAAAAAGGAGTATCCGATGGGAGTGTAATCGAAACGACTCAAATGAAATGGATGAATGATAGGTTAAGTGAACAAAACAAACGCTCGGTTAGTACTTATATGAGTGATATGATAACAATTGATAGTAAGCAGTAATACTTGTTATTAAGGCAATCGTAAATAATAGTGATGCTAATATAACAATAATAAAAATTATAATAACAATAATAATATAATAATTATAAGTAATGAAAATAAAGATTGACTACGCGAGCTCGATAATATCGAACAATGAAAAACCCGTGGACATTTCATGGCCACTAACAACATATGCTCGTTTCGTTTACGTCCTCCTTGCACCTATTGTTCTATCATTGTACTTCACTTTACCGGATAGTAAAAAACAGGTTTTAATCACTATCATTATTATTATAAGTAATACAAGTGTTATATTATGAACATTCGTACTCTTAATTCAAATTTAAATGTATTTATTATACCATTTACATATTTACACATGTATATGACCATACAATTAGATTAAGGACAAATTATAGGTTAGCTTAGGCTCGACAATATCAATCATGTTGACATGCAGCTCGCTCGGTTCAGAGAAAAAAGTTTCCTTATGAGCGGAATTCGAGTCCACAACGTACTAATTTCCAATCGGATGCCCTAGCAACTGCCCTATCGCCGAAACTGTTCAATTTCCGCATAATGATTGTGCTTAGTTCGCAATCAGTTTTTCAACAAACATCATGCGAAACTAACTTGATGAGCACCAAACGCTACAATTGAAGTGAATTGATCTGTACGTGATCATAATGACATGACAAGATAGTTAAATATGAGTTAGATAGCTTGACTGAGGCTCAATAACATTAATGACGTTGGAAAGTCGTTTAGTTCTGTGCAAAATCGAATAGTTTATTAACGATACGTAAATGATTAATGTGTAAATTTAAGTCATCAAGACGTTACTACGCGATAACATTCACCGGTTCGATATTGTGGATTGCGTTATTCTCGTATATGATGGTCTGGTTTGCAAGTACCATTGGAGAGACACTCGCGATTCCAACTGAGGTAGGAGTTTAGTTATCACTTCATTTGATATTCATTCTTAATTATCATTACTATTGTCGTTGTTGCTGTTATTGCTGTGATAATTGAATTTGCTTATAGTGATCTAATAATATTTAGATAATGGGTTTAACGTTGTTAGCTGCTGGTACAAGTATACCAGATCTTATTACAAGGTTCAGTATTAACTATTGATCATTATTGATCATTAATAGTTCCATCACTTTTGTCTATTATTGTATTCATAAATTTCAGTTAACTTTATTTTTTGTAATGTGAATTGAATTAACTTAATTGGTACTGAATATTAATAATCGATTAAATGTATATCAATTTGAGTGTAATCGTTGCGAGGAAAGGCTTAGGCGATATGGCTGTATCAAGCTCGATTGGCTCGAATCTTTTCGATATTTGCGTTGGGTTGGTCATCAATATATTATTTTATCAGAACATGTTTATGATTCCGTTGTATAGAATATTAAATTAATAATGACGAATGATAGATTGCCGGTGCCGTGGTTGATTTACTTCGTGATGGCACGGCTTACGGGAAGTGATAACTCAGGTCATGACTCGATCTCTGTATCGTCGAAAGGGTTGATCTGCTCAGTGGGATTACTATTTGTGATGCTGTCAACACTAATTATTGCAATTGCAATATCGAATTGGATGATGAATAAAATATTTGGTGTTATTATGATCATATCGTATGTCGTCTTTTGTTGTTTTTCAGTTTTTCTTGAGATCGGAATTATTGGTTGTCCGCTGAGATTTCCTAACAGTTGTTAATAGTTTTCTTTTCATTATTATTGTTTATTTTATTTAATCAGCAAATCAAACTCATTACGAGTTTATGCCTCTCTGTTATTACCAATATCACTAATATCACATTCTCTCCTTCCTTGGCATTCTTCTTTCCGCGCAGCTAACGATAATAGCGTTTGTCGTCATGAGATCCGAACTTGAATTATTGATTTGGCAAGTACAGAGGTTTTGGGCTACTCTCCCATATGCCCATTTATTTCTAGGGAGAGGGACTCAGAAGGAACCCGAAAATACATTCCGATTGATCGTTGTTATGTTCATTATAATCATTGTATTCATTATCATCATTATTATCTTCATACTTGGTGTCAATGTGTTATCACTGGATGGTGACACAAGAATCTGCCCAAGAGCCTCTAGGAATTTACAGTTTTTCCCGAGGAAACGACGAGCGAAATCGTCCTATGATATGTGTCCGAAATCCTACTAAGCAAAATCGTCCTAACGAGTCCTATGGTCGTGTGTCTAATTCCTATAGGCCCTCATTGTAGATCATCTGTGCCTAGACGTATCAGGAGCCCGGATCCAGCAGCAGTCCTGCGCCATATTCACACACTTCATAGCTTAGGCACGCAAGAGCTTTGACTATCCATTTAGCACAACTAAACTCGCCATGCAACTTCTTGTCATGCAAGGGCTCGGACTGAGCAGTATCTCGAAGGATTTCTTTGGGATGATGCTTTTGTCATGTTGTGCTTTTGTGGGGGATGCTCATGCTGTATGTTCTTATGTTGGCACTTCATTATTGCTGGGAATTATTGTAAGATAGGTGATTTGTTCAATTGTGTATTGATTGATTGATTATTTGTGTCTTGATCTCGGCATTTGTGGTCTAATGATCTCGATTCAACGTTGTAATGCTTACTGATATACATTAACTGAGTAATCCATGATAATCTATGCGACATTTATTACGTTATTCAATAGCTGAATTGCTGTGATTTATATCCATTATTGGATACTATCATGAGCCTCGAATAGGGCATTTATATGAGATCTATGAATATCAGTTCATTTAATGTATCATTGATTTTGACTGCTTAAGATTTTATTAACCAATTAATACTTGGTCCTTTGCAATTGTCATTATCATTTTTCTTATCATCATTCTCACTATTATTATTGTTACTCTATCATATTTTCTGCAATCATTGTTGAAATTTTAAACTTGCAATATACTTCATATGTCTGAATAGAATTTTGATCATTTATGTATTGTCCAAAAAATAATAAATAATGAATCGATAGCGTAGACTTTAATTGTGCACATAATGAACACTGTATGTAGCAATGCTTCTCATGTGGGAAAATTCCCCTCTGAGGTCAATTTGAGGATAACAGGAGGGAGGAGAATCGAGCAGGTTGGTGAAACACTGTTGATTGAT